ATGGATGGATGGATGGATGGATGGATGGATGGATGGATGGATGGTGGGCAGGCAGATGGGTGGATGGGTGGGTGGCTACACGGCTGTCAGCCCGCTGAGGTCCCCACTGTCCCCAGGAGCGGCAGAGCTGGAGTGCAGGCTCAGCCAGGGTGAGCTGGAGGCCATCAGGGAGAAACTGCTGGAGGAGAAGGAGGATGAGGAGGGAGTGCGGGAGGAGAGGTGAGGTGAGGGCGGGCAGGGGGCTGCAGCCCAGTGCTGCTCCAGGGCAGCACCAAGATCTGCTGACCGCTTCTCCTTGCAGCCCCAGTGAGGATGGAGCCCTGGCAGCCACAGAGCCTCAGGTGGGTGCTGGGCTGGCACGCAGCGCTGTGCTGCTGGGCTCTGCCTCACCCCCTGTGCCACCCACAGCCCAAAGCCACTGCCCCGGAAGGGACCACGGTGTCACCATCCCTGCAGCAGGGTGATGTCCCAGCAGGGGGACGGGACGGCTGCAGACAGCCAGGTGATGTGGGGCTGCAGGGAAAATCGATGGGGATTCAGGGAAAAAGGGGACTTCCCTCTTCCTATATCCATTCCTCGCTGTGTTGGGACCCTCACCCACATGGTGCCCTCGCAGGTGACAGAACGGACGGGAGCCCCTTTGGCACCTCCAGTGTGGAGGAAGAGGAGGAGGAGGAGCCCAGCCCTGCACACAGCAGTCCTGGTGTTGTACAGGTGGGGTGGGGGGCTGTGGGGGGATGTGTGTGGTTGTGGGGACTGTATGGGGTTGAGTTGGGCTGTATGGGGCTGTGGGGGGCTGAGTGGGGTAGTGTGGGGTTGTGGGGCTTGTATGGGGCTGAGTAGGGTGGTGTGGGGCAGTGTGGGGCTGTGGGGTCTGCATTGGGCTGTGTGGGGCTGTGGGGTCTGGTATGGGTCTGTATGGGGTTAAGTGGGGCTGAGTGGGGTGTTGTGGGGTTGTGTGGTCAGTATTGGGCTGTGTGGGGCTGTGGGGTCTGTATGGGGCAGTGTGGGGCTGAGTGGGATGGAAGTAGGTTTGTGGGGTCTGTATGGGCTTGAGTGGGGCTGTAGGGGGGCTGAGTGGAGTGGTGTGGGGTTGTGAAGTCTGTATGGGGCTGTGTGGGTCAGTGTGGGGCTGAGTGGGGTCTGTATGGGGCTGTGTGGGGCTGTGTGGGGTCTGTATGGGGCTGTGTGGGGTCTGTATGGGGCTGTATGGGGCAGTGTGGGGCTGTATGGGGCAGTGTGAGGTCTGTATGGGGTTGTGTGGGTCAGTGTGGGGCTGTATGGGGCTGTATGGGGTCCGTATGGGGCTGTATGGGGCCGTGTGGGGTCTGTATGGGGTCCGTATGGGGCAGTGTGGGGCAGTGTGCCCAAGCTGCTCACGGAGCAGCGTTCCCTGGGGCCCCACACCGTGGCTGCAGCCCTATGGATGCTCCCCCCGCCCGCCCCAGGCCGCCCCCTCTCCTTTTCCCCCGCAGAGCACGGAGCGCCCCCCGGACGGACGGACATCCCCGGCGGACAGCCGCGCTCCTCCAGGCGCCGCGCTCAGCAGCAGCTCCTCCATCTCCAGCCTCAACTCCTCCACGGTGCGTCGCGTCTTGGGTGCGGGTCCGTGCGGTTGCCGGCGCTCCAGACCCCCTCGCTGATCCCCCCTTCGTCCCCCCTCAGCTGAGCGGCAGCCTGCTGAGCCTCTACAGCGACTGGGAGCTGCGCCGGGTGCCGGTGCGGGGCTGCGTTCAGTTCTCACTGCGTTACGAAGCGGCCGCTCAGGAGCTGCGGGTGCACGTGGTGCGGTGCCGGCATTTGGCCGAAGCCAAGAGGCAGCGCTCCGACCCGTGAGTGGGACACCGGGGGGGGGGGGGAGGGTGGCACCGCGACCCTCTGCGTGCCCCACAGCCCCACAGCCCCACCAA